GAGAGAAATATATGCGGTGCAGAGTTGATTGGATGCTATGTGGGAAATGGAAGACTTAGCCGACTGTTACTGGAACACAATTTGATTGTTTTGGTGGGACCAATGTTGATGGTGACTCTTAGTGTAAAGTGCCTTCCTGTACCGTCATCGCCAGAAAAATCGTCACTGATTGGACTGCAGGCACATAATGTGCATGGGCAAGGACAAGGAAAGCGGCGAGACCTATCAATCGTGATTCCACATCGAAATGCAACTTGGCAACTCATTGTGTTGGCAAAAAATTGTCGCATCCCCGATTCAAAGCACTTCCACAGGCGATGAAAAACTGACGCTATACCCCAGTGACCTAATGCTGCCCTTTCACAATCCTTCGACAACCTCCAGAGACAGACGTCAGTGATACGACAATGAGTTTGAGGCTGTTTACTCCCTCTCCCATCCATTCATCCATTCTTAATTCCCAGCATCGGCAGGTGCCCAGCTTCTCAAACATCGCTGCCGTTATTTGCGCATCGGAATTATGGAAGGACGATCCACCTCCCCTGGACAATTTCCTACTCAACAATTTCTCCAGTGCTCTTGCACACACAGTCAGAAGTGGGCATTTCAACGCAGCGCAAATGACACAGTGTATTTGAAAGTTAGGCGTTAAGCGTTAAAAGGGAAAGTCACAGCACACTTTGAAGCATGTTAATTAGCTAGGGGCGCGTGGCATAATCCACGGAAACGTGCATTGGAAAGAGGTGGAGTGCAAAAAACTTAATGGCTGGTGTGGTTTGATGGAGTGGCGGCAATACGTATTGGGTTACGCGAGGTGACAATCGAAGACCGCAGCGATGCAGTGGTTTGCGATCCTCCCGTCTATATGTCCTCGCTCTTCCTTCAGTTCCCGCCTACAACATAACACAACCAACAGCAACGGAAAACAAATGTAGCAGCAAAAATATTTTGAAGATGGTGGCAATAACTTATGAATGCCTCAATTCTGCAGTGCGTGAGGATGTTGATCGTTAGTGCCTCCACCTCAATTAGGGTCGAAAAGAAGGAGGACGAAGAGTACCATCCAAATGCAGTTGTTGGCTTTAACTGCATGCACAAGTATGCCACTGGCCACCGTTTTGGTATGCGCACGCCAAATGGCATTTGCTAGCCTATCACCAATAAAATCAGGCTATTGGCGCTTTGACTATAACACCTCTGTGTGATTACGCTGACGGTAGATAGACGTGGAAAGCGAAGTAAGAAAGTGATTGTGGTGGTGGTGGTGGGAAGGTGGCCAGCCAATGCATTTTATGCAAGCCGAATGCAACTTACTGCTGGGAAGTGTTTGCACTTGTTGTTCGAAACTGAAGACTTCCTCGTCGTCTCTCAGACCCTTCACACTCACTTTGTAGGGTGTATCCGGCAGCAACTGCTGCAGAATGATTGTGCCAGAGCTCACTTCTTCAAACACAATTTTGATGGAGCCTTGGCGTGACTGTGGTACCGCCACCACTTTTACCTCCTTCACATTGTGCCCAGTGAGGTGCTCAGGCTTCCAGTACACCTCAATCTGCCCGCCATTAAGCGGTGTAATGCTAAAGTAGGACTCGAAATCGTCCGCTTTCGCCAATGAGTCTTCTAAAACAAAGACACTCACCTCAATCACTTGG